GATTTTATGATATCAGAGCAATTATAGAATTTGATCTTCAGATTTTGTGGTATCAGATTGTGATAGGAAAAGTTCCGAGCCTTGTGCATTTGTGGACCCATCTCATGAGTGCACGGCGTCTGTCGCGCCTCAAATTTGGGTTTTGGGGCGTGACAGATTTAGTGGTATCAAAGCTTAGGTTAAATTAAGATTTTGTGATACCAGATTCAGTGGTATCAGAGCTTAGGTTAAATTAGATATCTGCAGATTTAGTGGTATCAGAGCTTAGGTTAAATTAGATATCTGGAGATTAAGTGGTATCGTATCAGAGCTTAGGTTTAAATTAAGAGTTTTGGATTTAATTAAGCACCTCCAGATTGAGTGGCATCAGAGCAGATTGAGTGATATCCGAGCCTAGGTTTAATTGAATACCTAGGATTTGTTTTGGACTTGGCTAGCCAGTGGATTTTAGACCCGTGGTGAGATGAGTGATGGGGTTATATAAGAGATGATTCTGATTCGTGTTCCCTGAATTTTCTAATCCATTTTGATGAGATGGCAATCTGATTGTTCTTGTTTCTTTCCTTCATACTCTGTGTGAAGTTGTGAAAGTAATCTTGCCCGTTATGTCCTGAAGACCTTGTTTTGAAACTTGGTCATTTTCTGATAGTTCGCACTTGTTTAGACTTGTTATTTGAATAGAATTTTTGTGTGCTCTTTTGCCACAATTATAAAATCTAGGGAGTTGCAAAGATCTTTTGTTATTGATCCTGTTGGTCTCTACAGCATAGCTGGTGGAGAATTTGTTTTGTTTGTCACCTGACCAGTGAAAGATGGGCAACCCTCCACTTGTAAGAGATTCAAGGCTATTTTAGCAAATGTTGTGTGTTTTCTAGCTGCGTTTTAGGAGCTAGATAACTTGGTAATTCCGTTGCTCCTTACTTTCTGAAAGTCTTGTAGTGAAGTTTCACATTTTTCCATTCGGAGCTTCATGGTTTTTTCATGTGGCTCATTTGTCTATATTGGTTAATCAAGAGCAGTGATTATTCAATTGAAATTGTCATCTTTTTGTGAAGATTGGCAAGTTACCATAAAGTTAAACTTTCTATTGTTGCCAATCTCTACATTCTTGATACCTGAAATTGCTTGAAACTCTTGAAATCCATCTTGAATCTTTCTTGATATTGCTTTGTACTTGTTCTTGAAATTGAAATCCGGAAATGGATAATGATTATTGAATTCCTCATTATCTTGATATTCGTCTGAAATTAATTCTTGCATTGTTCTTGGAATCTATTCTTGAAAATCAGTTGATATTTGGTTTTTGGAATCTAGTTTGAGTTGTCCTTGAAAACGTTCTTGTTCTGATATTGTTTCTTGCTCAAATTCTGTATACTGCTCTTGCTCAAGTCGTGCATATTCTGCTAGTTCTTGTTTCAGTATACCTGTTGATTCTTGGTTTTTGTCCATATGGACACCTCTTAGGAGGGGTGACGGTTATTAGAAGATACCTATATGAGGCATCTTGATTCCTATCTCTTGCAAGTGTTAATCTTTGTATCCTTGATGTCTTAGTTTTGACTTGACTCTAGGATGTCTAGGATGACTTGATTGTAAATCTACTTAGCCCCCATAGGCTACGAGGTGAAGGGGTAGTCTTTGGAGTACTTAATGCCCTAGAGTTTTGTTCAAAGAGAAATGGTTCTTTTATTTAACTGTTTTGATTTTTGTTTGCCCTTTTAATTAGGAGACAGTAATCTTCTAAGCATCTTGATCCTAGCCATTGCTTTGTTCTGTTAATTAATTCTAATACTTGAGGTGCTAGATCTTGACATCCTGATTATATCTGCTCTTGAATCCTTGTTCTCATTGTCATTATTGAAACCTCTTTTGTGAGCCTAATTTTTGGAATTCTATTGCTTGTTTCATGGTTAACTCTTGTCTCTCAATTTTGATTGCTTGGTTAAATTTGATCTTGATTCTTGGTGAATGTCGTTTTGTTGTTGAAGTTTTGAGGCATTCTACCTTGCACTCTTGTGTTCCAATATTTTTCCAAGCATTCATATTTTCCATTGATTTATTCTGTTGCAATTCTTGAGATTCTTATATGTCTTTTGATGGGTTTAGCTTTTAACTCTTGTTGATTGCTAAAATCTGTCTCTTGATTCCAGTTGTTTTGTTAAACATGATCTTACTTGTTGGATAACCTTGTTTTGTGGCAGAATTTATAAGGCATCCATGCACTTGTTCATTCATGATCCATATATCCATTGGATGCTTATCCGTCTTGATAGAATTCAAAGTTTTGTTGTACTTGTCTTTAAATCCATGCCATTCTTTACTAACTCGTTTTGTGTTGGGTTCAAAGCGTAACCCCACAATTGTTCTTTTGTGGCTTTGGCAGGATTTATTTTTATTCCTTGTGCTTCCCATGTCACCCCAGCCCCTTGTAGCCTATTTCATGATAAATCTTGTTAAGTAGTTAGTGTTCTGCTTTTATGATTTGTTGTGATTTGATATCAGAGTGGCGCAACGGAAGCGTAATAGGCCGTGTTTTGTTCATAGAAAGTGAGTGAGGCATTTGTTTTGTCTTGGATTGTGTGAAGCCATTCACCACTTGATATGGTCCTCAATTTGAGTTTTGGGGACAAAACTCCTTTTTAGGAGGGGTGAGTGTAATATCCCAAATTTTCGTGAATATTTAAGTGTAAGTTAAGGACTTGATTGTGAGAAAAGATTGTTTTGGGGCCTAATGTGAATATTTCAAAAGTTGAGGGACTTAAAGAGGAAAAGATTTTGGATATGGATGACTTCTTTTCTTTTCCTTTTTCTTTCTTTCTTTTCTTCCCAGCCATTCCCGATTCTGCTCTTCTTCTTCCCGCTGCAGCCACCCAAAGAAAAAAAAAGGGAAACCCAGCCATGCCTTGGAAAATTGGTAAGGAAGCTTGGTATTTTCCCCTTCCTTTCTTGTTCTAGAACCCATAAAGAACCCAGAAATTTCCCCTGCCCCTGCTGGAAAACCGGATCTGCTATGCTCTGCTCCTCACCGCCGGCTGCTCTTGATTGTGGGTGATTTCTGGGCATTTTTTTCGGTAAGAACAGCCCCTAATTCCTTTGTTCTTGCTTGAATTGGCTTGGGTTAACTTTGAATGCTCTTATTTCCTTCAATTTTGAGTAGTTCCGTGAGCTTCCCCCTGCAGATCCCGCCGGCCTTCCCCAATCTGCTAGCTCCGGTTCCTTGCTTGTAAATTCTGGTATGTGACAGCCATTTAAGGCTTAAATTATCCATTTAAGGTTGCTGCTTGTGATGTCCGAATTTGGCTAGGAAATGGGGAAATTCCGGTAGCAATTAAGAGGGATTTAAGTGTGTTTTGTTGCTTAATTCAAGTGAGATTTATGTGATTGAGTGTTAATTGATTGTTGTGAGATTTTTGGAGAGAAAATCCCGTGAAATTAGCTAGTGGTTTGGCCAATTTTGGAGAGTGGAGTTACTGTTCACGTCGGGGTACTGTTCACCGATATTGTTCACACCCCGAGGGCCAACATTTAACGGGAATTTAAATGATTAGTTTGTGATATGAGAACGAATTTGGAGATATTTGATCATGTGGAGATTTATGGAAATAGTATCGTGATTAGGGGTAGTGCTAATGATGATTTCAGTTTGAATTTGTGATAGTGGAATTAATTCTTGAATATTTGATTAGGTTTCCGATCGTTCTGTCAGTTAGCACTGAGATCGAGTGTTCGATTTATGTGAGTGAGATAAGTAAATTTATGGTAATGCCCGTACTGTTTTAAAAGCATGTTTTGATTTGTTTTTGAAGTGGTGGCGGGACTAAACCCGTTTTACACGAGCATGATTGATTTGAAGTGAAATGTTTATGCTTTTCATTAAATTGAGCATGCCTACTTGAGATTTGATTGATTGTCCTGATGATCTGAAAGTGATTAGTGAATTATGAATTTTCTGTTAACCTTTGCCTGTTTTGTCTCCGATATGGTCATGTTATTCGTGTGCCCGCTAGTGGGAGGTTTATAAACGCTAGCACATGTCGACATGTTACTGATAGAACCGGTTCGTTTCTGTAACCCTGCTAGTGGGGGTTATACACTAGTAATTTCTGTAGCCTGTCAGTGGGAGGTTTATAACACTGGCCGTGACCTATAGAGGAGACGTCTATTTCGTGCCCGTACTGTATCTGTTTTCGTGATTGTACTTGTTGGCATGCTTTAAGTTTGATTAAGGGCACTCCATATTTACTTACTGAGTTTATCTCATAGTTTTTCCTTGTCCACCATTTCAGGAAGTGAAACCGAGGACGGGGAAACCACGGGAAGTGACGAGTTAGAAAGCTAGCCATTTTGAGATTGATAGAGATTTTAAAAATAAATCATGATCTTGTAAATCAGAGTGTATTTGGAGATTTTATGATATCAGAGCAATTATAGAATTTGATCTTCAGATTTTGTGGTATCAGATTGTGATAGGAAAAGTTCCGAGCCTTGTGCATTTGTGGGACCCGTCTCATGAGTGCACGGCGTCTGTCGCGCCTCGAATTTGGGTTTTGGGGCGTGACATATTATAATTTAATTGGTCAAAAAATCCTCTCCTTCCTTTCACTTCTCTCCATTCCCCTCAAGGCTCAAACAAAATATATTATAAGATAAGAACTAGTGCATTTTCATTCATGTTATTAGAGTTTTGAGTACGATCACTTATAGTCTTTTGTTGTAGACCACTTCATTATGATCGTTACAACTTACATCATCAGCCATGTGATTGAATAGTAAAATTATCTATATTTTTAACCACAAATTTAGAGTACAACTCCTATTCTCTATATACCCAAAAAAATAATCATTACAACCTACAATGTTGTGTTGCTTAATTATGATCATTTTTTTTTTATTTAGTTTTTGCAATCCTACTAGAATTGAAATGGACCGCCCTTAATCCTATTGTTGATTCATCCCAAAATTGTTGTGTTGAAATAAATCGTTACTAAAAAAAATATTGATACAAGTTATCACTACAAATTTTTATTTTTTAAAAATTAATCCAAATTTAAAGGTTACCATTAACTTTTTGTTAGACTTCAAAAATAATAATTTAACAACATTTAATGATAATCGTTAAATTGGAGTTGATTTTTTAAAATGAAAATTTGAGGTGACAAATTACATCAATATATATATAATTGTAGTGATTTGCTTTAATATAACAATTTTGAGAGGCAACTTGCACATTTG